TGTCTCTTTTTGACCTTGCAGGCGTAAAGTGCTTTCATTATGTAGTTTCAGTTTTTACTACCTGCCTCCGTACTGCGGTAGAGATTTTCACATCGTATTAGATATCTACATGTAATCTGATAAGCCACAAGCGGACTCAAAATTGGACACAGTGCAACACCTCCCAGCTTTCGTTAGACAAAAAAAAAGTGCGCATGTAAATAAAATATGCATTTTTGTGCATGTGTGGGCGTATTTTTATGTTTATGACCTTGTGTCGTTTATCAGTACGTGAATGTCACTGGTCGAATTGTGAGAACTGTGGTCCTATTGAAAATGATTGCACTGAGAAAGTTATGCCCCCCTTCCCAGTTCAAAGTACAAACCGTCGGTGTCCGATCTAGCCGTTTATTTTCTAAGTTATGTCAAACCCTTTTATATACCAAACTGTGCTATCCATAACCGTGAATACAAATGTTCATAACAAATTAATAATTTTAAAAGGACAGCCTGTAGAAAAATGGAGCAGTTCTGGTAAGTGATACGGAAAAAAATACGGTTTTTTCACTTTCCTGAAAATCAGTGCTCATGCACTTACACGGATAGAGTCGGACATCGATGAAATGTACTTACTGGATGTCTTACTTTTTGCCCCGCACCATCGTAATGGTCAGTGCACCCACTAGACACAGACAGCGTTTTCGTGTCGGCAAGATCTCAGATAATTTTCCGACAAAAAGGCAAGGGGGAAAAAAGAGTTGGTTAGTCAGGAAACGGGAAAGAGAATAATGTCACCTCTGAGCTGGAGGGAGTGGAGGAGGATAGAGTTTGAGGGGGGTTTTGTTTTGTTCTTTTTGCGTTTTTTTCTTGTAAGTGTTTTACGGCGCTCGCAACTATGTAAAGTCATATGAGCGCACAGGACACACCAAACATTTTTAGTTGGTGGTAAATTTTGAATTTTTCCGGGAGGCGCCGAAGCCTACTCTTGTCGATTTTAGACCAACAAGGGATCTTTAACGTGCGCAACTTGCACACCCTCGAACCTGGGACCTTTGAATGAGAGGCCAACACTTTAACCTGTAGGCCACGAGAGCCCCCGAGGATAGTGTTCAGATGAGGGTTGAGAAGAATTATAAAACTAAAAGTGTACTCCTCACCACTTGCATTTTGTAAGCCCGAGCAGTTTTCTTTAAGCCAACACATACACTTTTATTCTTTTTACCAGAAACACACACTTTCATTTGCCCATTTTTCAAACAATGATAAAATTCCTACTTTTGTGAAGACCACACAGTGGACGTTGCGCAGTTCTGTCCTCGCGGTTTTATGCACTCCGCATAATTGATCTAAATTTGATCTTTTTTT